TCGCTACTCCGGTGATGCAACCCGCTCGTGAAATGGTGGCCACACCAGAGCGCGCTCGCATGATGGCGGCGACAGAGGAGCCCATTCGCAAAATGGCGGCCACACTAGAGCACGCTTACAAAATGGCGGACACAACAGTGCCCCGTTATGTCACGGCTGCCAATCATGAGTCAAGTCAAGTCACAGCTGATCTGCCAGAGTCAAGTCACGTCAACGCTGATCTTCCTGAGTCAAGTCAAGTCACAGCTGATCTTCCTGAGTCAAGTCAAGTCACAGCTGATCTTCCTGAATCACGTCACGGTTGTTCTTCATGAGTCAAGTCAAATCACGGCTGATCTTCATGAGTCAACTCAAGTCACAGCTTCCATTGCTGAGTCAAGTCAAGTCTCAGCTGATCTACCAGAGCCTCGTCACGTCTCAGCTGTTTGTCCAGAGTCTCGTCACGTCTCAGCTGATCACTCAGAGTCACGTCACATCACAGCTGATCACCCAGAGTCACGTCACCTCACAGCTGATCATCCAGAGTCACGTCACGTCCTGTCTGTGGCATCCAGATTATCAAGGTCAGTCCTTCGGTATCCCAGTCTGGTACCCAGTGTGAGGGATGCACCGCTGGTGTCTGCATGCACAGCTGGTATCCCCAAACCCACTCACTCTAACCCTGCTGTTCATGAACTCATTCCCCTGTCTGCAGCACTTCCCATATGGGGGGTTGCTTTATGGTGTATCTGGGCTGCGTACTCCACCGCCGATTTGCTCGAGTAGCAGCAGCACCGGCTACAACATCCCCAGAGGTGGCGGCTTACGCCGCAGAACCTCCCGAGGTAGCGGTGCCCGCTGCTGTACTCCCAGAGGCCATGGTGTCCGCTGCAGTCTCTTCAGAGGTGGCGGCGCATGCTGCAGAACCTCCCGAAACGGCGGTGCTCGCTTCAGCTCCTTGCATGGTGGTGGCGCCCAGCAACGCACTTTCAGCCTGTCCTGTCACAGCCTATGAACTATTGTCCTGCACTGGTCAAGGAGACCATTTCTGAATTGAGTCAAGTCAAGTCACAGCTGATCTGCCAGAGTCAAGTCACGTCAACGCTGATCTTCCTGAGTCAAGTCAAGTCACAGCTGATCTTCCTGAATCAAGTCAAGTCACAGCTGATCTTCATGAGTCAAGTCACGGTTGTTCTTCATGAGTCAAGTCAAATCACGGCTGATCTTCATGAGTCAACTCAAGTCACAGCTTCCATTGCTGAGTCAAGTCAAGTCTCAGCTGATCTACCAGAGCCTCGTCACGTCTCAGCTGTTTGTCCAGAGTCTCGTCACGTCTCAGCTGATCCCTCAGAGTCACGTCACATCACAGCTGATCACCCAGAGTCACGTCACCTCACAGCTGATCATCCAGAGTCACGTCACGTCCTGTCTGTGGCATCCAGATTATCAAGGTCAGTCCTTCGGTATCCCAGTCTGGTACCCAGTGTGAGGGATGCACCGCTGGTGTCTGCATGCACAGCTGGTATCCCCAAACCCACTCACTCTAACCCTGCTGTTCATGAACTCATTCCCCTGTCTGCAGCACTTCCCATATGGGGGGTTGCTTTATGGTGTATCTGGGCTGCGTACTCCACCGCCGATTTGCTCGAGTAGCAGCAGCACCGGCTACAACATCCCCAGAGGTGGCGGCTTACGCCGCAGAACCTCCCGAGGTAGCGGTGCCCGCTGCTGTACTCCCAGAGGCCATGGTGTCCGCTGCAGTCTCTTCAGAGGTGGCGGCGCATGCTGCAGAACCTCCCGAAACGGCGGGGCTCGCTTCAGCTCCTTGCATGGTGGTGGCGCCCAGCAACGTCCTTTTAGCCTGTCCTGTCACAGCCTATGAACTATTGTCCTGCACTGGTCAAGGAGACCATTTCTGAATCCCCAGTCATGCCTGTCATGGTTACTAAGCTCTCGTCCTTTGTCATCCCGGCCGCAGAGGCCGTTGATGAACTCTCGTCTTGCCTTGAACCGGCCACGAAGGCTATCTGTGAACAATTGTCCTGTCTCAACCCGGCCGCAGATGCTGTCTGTGAACTTACGTCCAGCCCTGAATCAGCCATGGAGGCCGCTTATGAACTCACTTCCTGTCCTGTAACAGCTATGGAGGCCATCTATGAACTCTCTGCCTGTTCTGTTCCGCCCAAGGAGGTCGTCAGTGAAGTCTTTGTCTGTCCTGTCATAGCTATAGAGGCCGTTTCCTAACTCCCTGCTTGTCCTGTCACGGCTATGGAGGCCGTCTGTGAACCCTCTGCCCGTCCTGTCATGGCCATGGAGGCCGTTTGTGAACTATCTGCCCATCCTGTCATGGCTACGGAGGCCATTTATGAACTTTTCTCATGTCCCGACCCAGCCAAGGAGACTGCCTCTGAACACTCAGCCTTGTCTATCACACCCAATGTTCTGTCTGTGTTGTCTGTCTCTGCTCTCTCTGTTACAGTCTCTGCCATGGTCTCCTGATCGGTTTGGCTCGCCGTGGGGGTCTCCTGCTCTGTCTGCTCCGCCGTGGTGGTCTTCGGCTCGGTCTACTGTCTGGCTCTGGTGGTCATCTGGTTCGCCGTGGTGGTCTTCTGTCCTGCTCTGGTGGTCTTCAGCTCCACCTGTACTGCCGGCTCCGCCCTGCTCCGCTGGTCCTGCCTCAGTCCCTGGTCTCTCCACTTCCACATGGACCTGGCCCTCTATCCCTCCCCCTGTTCCGCCTCTGCTCCACCTCCCTCCGGAATCGTAAAGTGTTTTGAGCATCTGGAAGCTGCTCCTTTGGGGGGGAGGGGCTCTGTCGCCAATCCGGTCCATGTACTTCCGTCTGCTTGCCAGCAGAGGTCACCCTTTCCATTACATTGACTCTCGCACTGCACAAACTCTTGCATATCATCCCGGACTACATATCCCATCATCCATTGTACTGATTGCACACAGCACTGATTGCACACAGCTGTATCCAATCACACATTCAATATATATCACTCAATCTGACTCCTATCAAATGGCCGAGTATTGTATGCGCTTATCGCCAGCAGTGATAGCTACTTTACAGATCCCTCGCCGAGTATTGTACGCGCTTATCGCCAGCAGTGATAGCTACTTTACAGAGCCCTTGTTAGTTTCCCAGTCCTAGCCTAGTCTTGCCCTGTCTGTTTTCTTGGTTTCTGATCTTTGCCTGTTTTCCTGGATTTATCCCTCTAGTCTCGCCCTTTTGATTCTGTTCGCCAATCGTTGACCTACGCTAGCCCTAGGATTATTCTTGTGTCTTGACCGCCATAGACCTGTTTGCCATTGTTCGACCCTGCCTGTGTTTCTGACCTCTGCTGCTTTAAATAAAAGCTTGCACATGGATCCGCACGTCTCACGTCTTGTCAGCCCTATATCTGCTCCGGCGGCGAAACAATGGCGGACTGATGACAGCTCACTCAGGGCGGGTCTGAGGTAAGACACCAGTCCAGTCTGTGCTGAAACGCTACTGTCAATCAAACTATCGTGGGAGGGGCCTGTCTATGTGACGTCACACAGACAGGCATCTGAGATCGGCTCGATTTGAGAATTAAGAAAAAAACACTGGATGGATTTTTATCATTATAGGGTGGTTGTGTACACACACTCCCAACACACATTTCAGTTCAAACAACTTGTAAAAGTGCATGTAGCATCCTATTACCCCTTTAAATAAAGACTGAAAGAGTTGTCGGAGTCATGTGACCACGATGTAGTTCGTTTATACCCTACGTTTATCTTTTTCTTCTGGTGATTGTATTCAGGCTTCAAAATTTATAAAAGTTGTGTTCATTTGTGAAGATTATCATGATGAACAAAATGTGTAGGAATCATAAACTTCTGTTGGTCACAGAGCTTATTTTCTACATTAATCCAAAAGCCACTGGTAAAATACTATTGGGTTTATATCGAGGGAACCAGGGTGATGCTAACTTCTGGATTAGATTACAAAAATACATCATCACTGCACCACTCTACTGGGGCAAGTTCTTGGTCAGGCTGATAACATCACAAGTGACCACATCCAGGGACTCCACACAGAAACAGATGTGTTTTGGCCAACTTTCCCCATAATCCTAAGCCTTCCTGATCCTCTGACCCCTCCAGAGACCAGAAAAAGCAATTGGGAGAGAGATGTTCTCTATCTGTTGATATGAACCACACCGCAGTCCTCTTATTCTTCAGCTGAGAGAACCAGGGCAATACTGATGTGCATAAATAATTTAACATAGCATAAATATTTCTCTGTCAGCACTCTAAAGCACCACCACAGGTGCCAAGATTTGTTTTCTTGTTTTGCAGGGAAAAAAATAATGCGACTGTAAAAAAGATTTTGATTTACAACACAGTGCACACTCTCAGCAGCTTCAGCATGACCCCAATGGGCAGTAAAAGAGAAAATCGAAAAATATAAAGGAGTCATTTAAAGTATTAAAGAATGTCACAACAGCATGCACAATAATTTCATTCGTTACAAACCCTACAGCTTTCAAAAAATACCAGCATAGGGCACATCCTTGAGGTAAATCTTGACCTTTCATTCACTATCATGTATGACTCTTACATTTTGAGGCAGTGTTGTCACGGCCTTATTGTCTGACATTTATAGAAACTGCAGTCATAACAGTCAGAACATAGAATGACATGGCAATGGCCATTAGAGCAGTGGTTCTCAATTGGGGGCGGGCAGAATTCCAGGGAGACTTCAATAAGTCTTAAAAGTATATAAATTTACTTAATATAATCGTAATTATATATTACTCTTAAAGATGTAAAACACTGGATTGACATCTTATTTTTGAGTTTATTTTTATTACAATACAAGTACTAGAAGTACAGCTTCGATAGGAGGAACTTTGAATATTGTGTTGGACAAAGGGGGTGGGGCCTTGGAGACAAAAAGGTTGAGAACCACTGAACTATAATGTTTATCATTTATTTACATCAAACTCCATTATTAACTTACTGCATGTAAACTTGACTGAGATGTTTACCTGATGTCGTTCTGCTGAGGTGGTTTCTTGTTCCCGACCAGGTTCACTGTTTTTGCTTGTATGGGCTTCTCCTCTCTAAAATGTACAAACACAATTTAGATAGTGACGATAAATCTCTCAGAAATAAATCTTAGCTCTTTTGCATGAAAAGTTTTTTCTTTAGCTAACTTTTTCTAGTATTACCAACCTTCACCAAACATGCATTTTCATGAAATGAAAGTTGAGTTATAAAGACAGAACATCTCCTTTTGTAAACAATTCTGCAATATTATTTTTAAAGAATGGTTCATCCAAAAATGAAGATTCTGTCTGCAGAACACAAATGAAGATAAATAAAAGAGTACAAAAAAATATTTTTTTATATTCCACAGAAGAAAGCCAGTCATACAGGTTTGGAATGACATAAGGGTGAGTAAATGATGACAGAATTCTCATTTTTAGGTGAGCTATGCCTTTAAGCTAGGACAGTATTGTTGTATTTCTGAATGCCTCAAATGCATTGTGAGGTCGACCTCTAGCTTCTGCTTCAGGACAGAAGTTTCTTTGAGGAACTGTCCAATTCAAACATCGATCTCATGACACACACAGCCAATGAAAATGAGTTTGTTTATCGGCACACTAAAACAGATTAGTACACAGATTATGTGGCGATCTGTCTATTCTCTCTAAGAAATACTGTGTAACAGACTGAATTCAGTGATCATTTGACCTGTGACCTTTAACCATTCAAAGAAAAATTTTATTCATTTTTCTTTCAGAAGAGTTTAGTGACAAAAAAATGTATATACAAAGACTGAGAAATTAAATAACTGCATGACTATTTCCTATGAGTAATTTAGGGCAAGAAGTGCTTAGGTTATTGATTGTAGCTGCTCAGGGAACCAATTTAAGATGCATAAATCTGATTTCAAATCTCAAGGTGACCAACAACTAATGTAATATAAGCAATGATGGCTTCTACATGTCAGGTGGACAGGAAGCCAAGAAACATCTTCACACTCATGATAACAGCACTGATGAACCACAAATAGCTCAGAATAAAACTTTACAAACTATCCTACATGTAAACCGCTGACTAGTGCCTGTCATAAAAAGACCTTTTTTTTTTTTTACCAGTTTTCATTTGAAGTATTTGGTGCTTGTTGTAATAAGTTTTTTTTTTACTGTAAAGCTCTTTGAGTTGAATACTTTTGCTATGCATATAGTTCATTATGATGCTATACATATATATCATTAGGAGGATCTAAGAAAAGAAAAGAAAGGAAATTGAACAGATGAGGAAAACATAAAGCAATGACTGATGCTTCAAGCTGTGAGTGATGCTCACACTACAATCAGGGAAGATTTCAGTGAATGGGTTAAGGATCCTGATGATCATGATGACGAGGCACGGAAATATTGTCGTGACCAGGCAGGAATCCTGACACTGGTGGTGAATAGTGTGGAAAACTTTCACTAACCTATTTAAAGAAACATTAAAAATGTAGGATGTGTTGAATAAATGAACTAATAATGTGACATGACGTGTGTGTGCTGCTTAAAACTAATCCATCACACTGTGAGGTGTAAAACAGCAGGATGTATTGAGTTGTAGATATTTAGCTCTTGCATGTCGACACACCCCTCTCTTTAACAGCTATACCTGGGAACAGTCACCTGGCCGTTCATTAGACAAGCTTGTTTCATATGGATGTGTATGAATACACAAGTGAGGCTCATCCATGACAGGTGACCATAAGGATGGAGAAAGTGGACATACATGGCCAGACTCACCCACCCACCCACACACACACAGGAGCTCAGGTGCAGGCGTACAGCCTGATGGCTTTATTAGTAGGCTATTGCAAACAGATGCACCTACAGAAACCATTACAAGCTGTTTGCCTTTTGGTCTCCAGAAGCAGCACAAATACTACGGGCAGGCTCCCTATAAAGTGTGATGTCTTACTTGAGCATGGCCTCATCCTTTGCCTCTTCCTCCCTCTGCCGAACCATCACAGCCATGATAATTTTCTTCTCCTCCTCGGTGAGGTGACTGAGGTCCGGTAGCTCGGATATGGAGCTCTGCGCTGTGGGTGGGCGAGGGCCGCCGCGGGGCCCCACCGAGGCGGACATATTTTACCCCTGTATGATCGGTGCAAAATCCCAGCTATGTAAACCGCTATTCAGGACATAGTCCGATGGCTTATCCGCGGTTGTCGCGAGCGTGGCGAACCGTTCATCGCTGCGGCGGGCACCCACGGTTGTGCTTCTCTTCCTATACGGCTTTTTATCCTGTTTCCCCCCCCCCCCCCCCCCGCCCGCCCGCCTGCCTCTCCCCTCCAGGTCCAGTTAAGGGTAGTCCATATCTGATCCGGAGGATATGCGCGAGTCGACGAGGGGGGTCTTGCGCTTGTTGATGAAGCCGCCTCGGAGCTTGGGCTCTCGGGTGGGATGACGGGAGAAAAGGCGGAGTCCGCGCGGCGCTCTGTTTTCCGAGCTCGCTGCTGCTGCTGCTGCTGATGCTGCCGCTGTCAGGGAGACGGAAAGTCAATGGGACCGCAGCCCCTCAAGCGCGCGCACGCCTCCTCGAGACGGCCGCGCGCACTCTCATTTGAGAAAGGGGGCTCGCTGCACGCGCGCACAGCATCCCATCTACCAGCAGCCGACGCTTTGAGATTCCCCGAGCCTGACTCGCGGTTAAGATTGAGAACAGCGTGTTGCAAGTGCAAATTCAGCACACAGCAGACGAGACGCTAAAATATAAGTAATAAAATATAAACACACTAGACACAGACTTGCTGCAAATGACTAACTTCACATAGGCAATAAACTGGCACAACTGGTTAAGGGGGACACTTAAGATTAATCATCTTTTTCATTATTGCTTATCTTTAAAACCACCTTTAATTTCACTTATTTGCACAAAATTGGTGGTAAACACGTATAAATGAAAACATGACAATACATTCTGAGGCAAAGCATGTTGAAAGAGTGAAATGTGAGGGCAATTTGTGATTGTGATGTAGCTTTACTGTATACGGGATAATAATTAATCTAATTTTCCTAAATCCTTCTCATACAATGTCCCAATTTGCCAACAGTGCCTCTCTGCCATTTAAATCATTAATGGAAAGGAACAAATTTTGTGCAATCATAAAACTAATTCTGAATTAAACTTGTTGAGATAGGCTACAGCCTACCTCAGATAAGTTTTCAGTTAATAGATATTACATTTTAACTTAAATTATTAAGGCAGTACTTACTTTTGGAAGTTGAAACAATTTTACAATTTATAAATATGTATACGGGATAATAATTAATCTAATTTTCCTAAATCCTTCTCATACAATGTCCCAATTTGCCAGCAGTGCCTCTCTGCCATTTAAATCATTAATGGAAAGGGACAAATTTTGTGCAATCATAAAACTAATTCTGAATTAAACTTGTTGAGATAGGCTATAGCCTACCTCAGATAAGTTTTCAGTTAATAGATATTACATTTTAACTTAAATTATTAAGGCAGTACTTACTTTTGGAAGTTGAAACAATTTTACAATTTATAAATAATATATAAAATAAATAAATCCATATGCAGTAATCAAAGAATGAATTGGTAATCAAATGCTGAGCAGTTTATTATTATTCTTATTATTATTATTATTATTAATGTAAGCTACAAAAATAAATTAGTCTTCAGTGTTGCTGTGTGAGAAAAAAATACATAGGGTTATGCATTTTAAAACAGAAATCCATAGCTGTATTAAAGCTGAACATGCATTTAGTAATCTGTGTTCGCATATGCCATATGGGATGATTTATCCTAGCTTTTATCTCAGACATTAAACGGTTGAATGATGTTAGACTGGTTGCTTTGCATATTGTAGGCTACTTTCTTTCTTTCTTTCAACTTGCATTTCCAGTTTCTAAGCACTGGTTGTACGTAGAGCGTGGTTGTAGTGTGGACTTTTATTTTGGCGTTTTCTCCTTGGCTGCAATGACGTGTCTTGGGTCACATTATTTGTTGTACCTGTTACACCGTCCATTGGTTCCTTCGCTTTTAATGCACTTCTGCTATCTTTGACTTCATATTTCTGTCGTTAGTCGTTAATCTGGTGAGAAAGCCTTGTTAAATATCATTTTTAATTTTATGTGTATGTGGGCAGGTGCACCTGACACAAAATTACAAAAACGCTGCATTAGTTTTGGTCATTAGCTTTCCTGATGACTCGCTCATAGAGCAGTTTATTTGATGATGGGATTCGGCTGATTACAGCTTGTAAACTAAATGAGCAACGCAATTTGACATGTCATTGTAAATTAACGGACATTATAGCGGGTCACTATGCTGATATTGTAGACTGCATCTGCAGTACCTGTAGACAGATTTATTATGATAGTAAAATTATTAAAAACCACTGATTTATACTTAGTGAATGTATAACATCTTAGGGTCTAATGGGCATAGAATTTAGCTTTATGCAACGTAAAGAATAATATTATGCGTATTTTGCAGCTGGTTTGATGTATAGCTCAAAGTGATAATACGGTTTAAATTAATATGGTTAAAAAAATATATATTCAAAACAGCAGCACGATTGCTAGTGTGATATTGCTTTTATACAACAGTTAAATACACAACAAGTTTTTTTTCTCTCTCTCACTTTTTGTCTTCTCAATATTATTCTCAATCATTGTGGACAGCTATGCTGCCTGTAGTGGTGGTGCATGGAGGTGCTGGTCATATTCCTAAAGAAAGAGCTGAACTCTCTACTATCGGTGTAAAGGAGGCAACCAGGACTGGGTATGCCATCCTTCTGAAGGGTGGAAGTGCCATGGATGCTGTGGTTGAAGCAGTGGCCCTGATGGAGAACAACCCGAGATTCAATGCAGGTACCCATCAATTAACTCTCATACTTGCATACTTCTTGCTTAATACCTAATACTACATCCAGGGTAAGTAGAAAACTCAGGTTATGCCCATATGTCATAGGTCGGGGGTCAGTGCTTAATGTGAAGGGGGAGGTGGAGATGGATGCAATGGTAATGGATGGCAGGAGTCTAGATAGTGGGGCTGTTTCAGCGGTCAGAGGAATTGCTAACCCCGTGCAACTGGCCAGGCTTGTCATGGAGAAGGTATTATTGTAAATTGCACAACATCTTCCCAAATACTGTACATAACCACCATGGGAGATTTAGTTTTGAGTAATCTACAGTTACCAACATTAAAAACAAAAAGTGTTAATAGTAGGAATACTAGGCTAAATGATATCAGATGCTTTTTGAATACATTGAATGCAATCATTAGATAATTTCACTACAGTTTGCATTTAAAATAATCAAAGTAGTAATGTGAATGATGTCTGTCCTCTCTCTGGAGACCAAACACTTGTGTCTGACAGCTGAAGGGGCCTCTAAGTTTGCCAGAAGCATGGGTGTACCGGAAGTGCCTGAGGAGTCATTGATCACAGACTATGCCAAGATGCGCTGGAAGAAGAACCTGGAGCCAGATGCCAACCCTGTGGAATGCCAAATGTAAAGCTTTTATGTAATGAAAACTGGTACAAAGTGCTGACATAATGTTTTTGGCATAAGATGTCTAATGTCTAAAACTTCTACTAAGAAGAAAGAGTTGCAGTAATAGTTAAAGGGATAGTTCACCCCAAAATTAAAAGTACCTATATGACTTTCTTCTCTGAAACTCATAGATTCTAAATACACTACTGATAAAAACTTTGGAATAATTAAGTTTTTTATGTATGTATGTATGTTTTTATTTATTTATTTTTTGAAAGAAGCATCTTATGCTTACCAAAGCTACATTTATTTTAAACAGTAAAAACAGTGACATATTATTACAATTTAAACTGTTTATATATATAGAGAGAGAGATTTTTTTAAATGTAATTTTTTCCTGTGATTGCAAAGCTGAATCTTGTTTATTTATTTATTTAGGCATATACAATGAAAGTAAAGGGTCCATTTTTGTGTACTGTATATATGAAATATTGTGTTGTCCAATAATGTGCATTAATTTTATATGTAAAGAAATTGCAACACATGCCGTGTTTCTATGTTTATCTAATTTCTTTCTTTCTGATGAACTAGCTACCAGAATAAGTAAGACTTTTTGTTTGTAAAACCATTTTGTATGCATGCGTTTCAGGGGCAAGATGGGAACAGTCGGTGCAGTAGCTGTGGACAAAGACGGGAACATTGCTTGTGCCACATCCACTGGTGGAATGATAAATAAAATGGAGGGTCGTGTGGGAGACACGCCGTGTGTTGGTAAATACAAACCTGCTGCTTTGTAATGTATGTTTGGGGCCTTGATCTGATTTGCACTACAGACCTTCAGTCTTAACACTTTTTAGAGAAATCCGCCTACACATGGCTTTACTTATAGCTGTTTCTGTGTATTAAACTGAAATAGAAGAAAGTATTTCAACACTAAACTTTAACCTTTAACCTTTAATTTGACTAAAAAAACACCTAAGCAACTGATATGACGGGGATTGAACTCTGACCTTACATGCAAGAATGTGTATAATTTTCAGCTGCTCATGAGAGCTTGTTGCCTACTGAGTTAATATTCAAACCACAGATCTGATCCCCAGCTCAGCACACCACATCACCCTCCACATACACATTCTCTCAGGACACATTTTAACCTGTGGGAATCACACATACACACTAGTTAATGATAGAAACAGAGCTGGGTAAACAGGAGAATAGACTCTGCTGGTATTGTCTGATTTAGAAAGAGAGTAAATAAAAAGTGTAAAAAGACAGCTGTTTTATTCTCCCTTATGCAGTGAAAATTATCAGGGTTTGCCTCAAACAGGTGGAAGTTCATCTGGAGCAAAATGTTTGCCGAGTGTGAGTGTGTGTATAGGAAAGATCTCACTCTGGATTTGTGTTTTTTCGTCTGATTCTCAGGATGTGGGGGCTATGCAGATAACAATATTGGGGCAGTCTCACCCACAGGCCATGGGGAAGCCATCATGAAAGTCACGCTGTCTAGACTCATTATCTTCCACATGGAGCAAGGCATGTTACAATATCAGTACAACTTATTCAGCTTAACAACAAACAAAGCTTTGAGGTCTTTTTCTTATTTCTTTTTTAAGTGAACAAAATTACTATATTTATTTTACTATACAGAATATTTATTTAAACCGTGAATAATATACTTTATTATTAGGCTTTTTACTCTCTGTAATACTTGATTCTGGTCAGCTGTATTTAGCAGTTGTATTTGTTTTTATTTATAATATGATACTTTTAAACTGCAAGGACCTATTAA